TATCTGACAAATTTCTATTTGCTCATTGCTTTCCTATCGTCTCCTATATAAGACGGGTAAATGCGCATCATGTATAAATATTTATTAGCAATGAAAGCTATTTGGATCCCTGCCAATTGTTTAGATGGGTCGGTAAACGCAAAACGATGATTAGACGGATAAAGAAATGGTGCGCGCAGCTTCGTGACGGCACTGTCCAAAAAAATTATTTGAAGCTATTAAATAATTAAGTGTGACTGGCGGTGAAGACCAGAATCGTCCACAAGTTATTTTTTCGTATCATCCGCTATACCTAGACTATGCACATGAGTTCGTTGTCTAGTGACTGCAATTATGCGTGCGAAGAATAATTGATCCTAAGTATAAAGAATAATGGTGAGCCAGGCATGGCTTAACGACCAAACACAAGACGGAACTGTTCCTTATATGCCGTTGACCATGTGGCGTCCATCCGAGTGTTCCGTGCAGCTGTATTACTCAATAAAATGAGTAATATCTCAGTCACCCATTGCACCGCTTAATGACAAGCCAATCATGAATTAATGTCTGCTCATCATCGTTACAAATATGTTGACTAAAATCTGAAAGCGTCTTCATTGTAACAATGGTAAGAAAAAGACTCATTTCTTATGTTAATACAAATAGTATGCAAGATTCGAAACCTGCAACAAAGTTCGAGGGAACCTTTTTCTTAAAAAAAGGTATCTCAATACATTTTTTTTGGTATGAGACGACCTGCGAAATAATGTTTTAACCCCGATGACTGGAAAAAAACGATCAAGATTTCAAATTAGTAATAATATTTTATTAATATAATGTGCCCTGCATGCAGACTATGTTTTCTAATTAAAAAAACTTTTATATTTGCTGAGAACATATTTCAGGGAATGAGAGTGCTGCGGTCTGGTTCAAAATTTCAACAGTAGCGGCTGAACGAATGCTCGTCTCCCGGCTGTGGTTTAAACAAAAACGTGGCTTTAATTGGTCTAGAATCACGTGTGCTCTAGAGGTCATTAATGGCGGCACCCCTAAAAATTTGTGTGACCCCTGATTACAGGGGTGTAATGGGCTTTAAGGCGAGGACATGCGTTTTGCAGTTGGTTAATTCAGATATCCGTATGTTTCTTAATTGACCTTTTAATTATTGCTTAGCATTTGCGGAACGCTTGAAGTGTGGTGCTCAGTTATGTGACATTCTGGAGGTATCTGCCTTTCCTTGATATTCAACCTATAGAATACATCCATTGATGATGAACTTAAGGAAGAAGTCCCACTTATTTTTGTATCCATTCAAAAGTTTCTCTGTGAAACTGAGATACAGTTCATAAAAGAAGCCCCTCTTCAACGTCTTAGATACATATCCCTCGAAATCCTTCAAAAAATTCGAAATGCTGACTATTTTCGGCAGCATGCAATTTCGCTTCTAAGCTTACTGTTCAAACATGTTGAGGTATGAAGGATCAATATTTTCGATTCTTTTGCAGCAAGATAATGAGGAGAATGTCTTACTCTGTATCAAAATCGTGATCGACGTTTACAAATTGTACCGTCCGCACTTCTCTTCAGACGTAAAACCATAAAACAACTTTTTTTATTTCTCTACCATAGGTGACGAATTTTCTCAATTTTGTTCATCGTGTTTATCGCAATGTGAAAAATCAGATGTTCAATATTTTTAAACAGCAGGAGATTTTAGAACTTCCAACTATTCACGACTTGAAAATGGAATCTGTTTTACAAAGTGTTTTTACGGTGACGAAAGTTCAGACAAAAGAACTCAGATCCGACTCATCACCTTCAGTCGTAATTTTGCCTTAAATTAAATGTTGTCTTTAGTACCATATCCTCCCAAAGTCGTGTTTTTCTCTGAAAGTAATGCAGGAGATTCCAATTCTGGTGGTGTTGATGTACCAGCTCTTTAAGCAGCAAATACACGATCAGGTTTCGGAGTTCATTCCTCTCATCATGGAGTTCATTAACATGAAACCTCTTTCTGAACCCAGGTTAGTCTCAGCAATCTCTTCGCAAGATTTCCTTGCTTAATTGTGTCGAAGCTCTTTTTTTTTAAATGGTTAAATTGGTATTTTTGTTATTTAGCCTTTTTTGTCAACATTAATTGGGTGTTTGTCAGGATTCTAGTGTTCTGGCTCGTACTCGCCGTCAGTAACTGACGTACAAATGTTCTCATAAATTTCGTATCTCTGCCATATATATCTAACTGGTACCTGGGCTATGCCAGCAGCGATGGCTTGAACGTTACATTCCATGTAGTCCAGCCTCTTAACATGGACTATTTTATTATAACAGTTTTACCTAACACATTCTTTGATGTCTTCACTCGATAGCCAGGATCCAAGTACCAGGAAAGGCAAATTTATTGATTTTATGGCAGCCCAAGTGAAAACGCTTTCATTTCTCGCATACGTCATTAAAATTTACCAGGTATTCAATCATTTACTATTTAACTACTGTTAGGTGATGTGTGCGTGCTAATTAATGCTTTTCTATCTAGGAATTAGTGGAGCAGCATTCTTCGGCGCTGGTTAAGGGCATGATGAATCTTCTGGTCACTTGCCCGCCATCAGTAACAAATATGCGCAAAGAATTTTTTATCGCAACTCGTCATATTTTAAGTACACAAGAAATACGGCCAAGTAAGCTTCACTCTTGTCTTTCCACAGCAGTTTTACCTGTATGTGAGAAAAAAAAGGAAAATGCGAACGTGTAGTCAGCTTCGTTTTACTAAAATACAGCAAATCTTTCTTCTGCAGAATGGCCCTTTTTATCTAATAAATGCTTTACGATATTGTATTACGCGAGTTCGAAAACGTTTTGCTTCCTGTGTTCTTACAGTGTCCATTGTGGCCAATTGTCACTTTTTTTCCTACTTTAGAATTTCTCAGTGTGCTTGACGATTTGATGAACGAAGATACATTAATTGGGCAAGGATTTACCGTCCGAGATGCTCTAAGGTAACTTACACTGGAGTGTGAATTGGAATCAAAAAGTCAGCAGCACATATGTTTCCGTTTTAATCTGTTCTTATTCTTCCACGACTAAAGTTCTTCCTCAAGCAACCTATAACTTTATGTGTATTACGCCTGTATTTGCTTCATTCAGACAGATGTGCCTGTCTCGAGAATGCAATTTTTTTTATTAGACCCCTCGCTTACAGTACTTTGGCGGACCTGACGCATCATCTGCGAAGTGAACTCAGCCTCACTAAAATGGCCCGTGCAACAGACCTGTTCGGAAGAAACATGTTTGATGACAGCCTGCCATTCTCAATCCAGCAGATGAGTCTGAGGTTACTTCTTAATCTTGCTGAATGCATACGTCTACGTGTCACGGCTTCAGCGACGTCGGATGCGGCACGGAAACCCATTAACGCTCCTGCCGCCCGCCGTCTTCTGCTGCAGATTATGCGCTTGTGTGTACTCAAGTGCCAGCTCGTCGCGGAGCACTACCTCCCTGAGATAGAGTCAAGATGGTGCGTCTTTTCTGGTCTTTGTTTGTCTTATCGTCAGCCTCTAATTATCCGTACTTTTAATACATTTATCTCTAGTCTGAAAGAGGAAACTGAAAACCCAGTTGATCAGAAACCTCTGGCATCAGAGGATGTTGAGAGCGAGGGCGCTACTACCAGTACATGTGTCGGCGCAGGTTCAACTGGTAGGCATGACCCAGTGAGTTGCAATCGTGCTTGATTCTGTTACACGAAACGTATTCCCACATCACCTCTGTTTTGTTTCTAGTTTTTAACCTCTGAAGCTTTGACACAAGGACACTTGAGTTTTGGTGACCTTAGAGCCCTAACAAAGGCGTTGGCGACAGGTATGCGTGCTGTGGTCACGAGTTTGACGCAATGTCCCCATTGGAGTGCCACGGAAGACGACTCTTACCTCGTGGGAGAGCCCCAGAATTCTGCTTCTGTGCCTCTGTCTAAGCAACTTCTCCCCACAGAGACGCTCGTGTTGACAGATTACCTTACTTACGGATTGCGAATGATCGACGTCTTACGAATTATCTCGAAAGACGGACAACTCTATCTTCGGGGGTGGGTTTCACACTCTCCCGTGTCTCTGCGCTTTCATCATTCACTAATCGTAAAACCTTTCTGTTTAGTCCCCATTCTGGCGCCAAGTACCCGGATGAAAGATTTTTACTTGAAACCTTGGCAATGACATTTGTTCCGATAAGTTCTGCGTCGTTTCGTGAAATCTTTTCAGTCAAAATCGAGGTAAGCGGTAGTACACATAAGCATCTTGGAATACCAATACATCGATTATGCTGATTTTTCTTCTCACTAGTACATTGTTGATTGGTGTCGCAAAAGCCCTCTATTCTACGCGCACTTCGCCTTTCATCTTCTGTCTCAGTCGAGCCAGACGTCTAACTTTGGGCACATTTTGCTCTCCTTTCTCGTTGATCGACTGGAAAAACTTGGTGGTATGTCATACTTTTATATCATTTTTAAACGTCAAGTTATATGATATTTTTTGCTTCACTGTAAATTTGTTTAGGTTATACCAAACTTTAGCATTAGTCATGTTCTGTTTTCCATGTGGTCCATCGTTTTTTTGCTTTAGACGGAACTGATGTCTCCTTCACCTATATGCGCCTTCTGAAGTTCTGTTTCAACTCTGTCAATATGCCCGGCACCGATAACGAGCATGTGATGAAGGTATATTCATCAGTTCCGTATTACCAGTCAAAACATGCTTAGCCTTCCAGTACCTAGTTTGAACATCCCACCTTAAAAATCACACTTATTTGTAAACTCTAGCTACACCTTCGTCGTATAGTACAAGGAAGCATGCAGTACTGCCTGGAGGCGCGCGAGCCAACAGCATACCTGACACTTCTGCGAACTCTTTTCCGGTCTATTGGTGGAGGGGCGCACGACAAGCTCTATCGTGAATTCTTTCCTCTTTTGCCCGAAATGTTGACCACTCTGAATCGTCTCCTGCGCTCAGCTCATCGGACTTATGCTCGTGACCTCCTTGGCGAGCTCTGCGTCATCGTGCCCGTTCGCCTCTCCACCCTCTTGCCCTATCTTTCCCTACTCATGGAACCGCTTATTTATGTTCTCAACTGCAACACCGTAAACCAGGTATAAAACCACTTTTCAGGGACGTCTTTGTAAACCATAATAGCCGGTGTCATGTTGGCTTCGCTATCGTGAACCACAATAAGCGTTTCAAACACTCAATACCGTGCCAAAGTATCTTCCTATTTATTAACTTTCGTAAGCGTTTTTGGTGGGATTTCCTACCTGGACTACAATATTTCTTTGTTAACCTGAATTATTGTTTTTTTTACGCACTACATAAAACGCTATCTAGACTTTCCTAAACAGGGTTGTCCAAATGCATTACCAGCGTTGGGGTGTGAATGTCTTTCTGTTCCGGGATTTATAACTCATATCGCCGACACGGCATTGTGCTGCCAGTCTCTGGGTGGTATCCTTTCTAGACCATGATGTACAAGTAGTTCAGAAAACGATGAAAATATTGTTGGTTGAGCTTCATACAAGCTGTAAAGGGCGTTGATGTGTGATCGCATACATCCCTAATTTTTGCCCTCGTCATATAACCACGCTTTTCCTAACGATCCCCTCCTCTGTTTTGAGATTTAGGGAATTTAATTAGCCCCACTGGACAAAATTTTAAATCCGCCTGTTCTGTTTGCATTTGTATGTTCATATCATCCAGTGATAATTTACCTAGGCTCAGTGGTAATCCACCAATTTAAACACCGTGTATTTAAACTGTCAAGTTACTAGGTCTGCCATCAAATGATATCTTCATTTTTCTTCAGGGCCTGCGAACTCTTGAGCTGTGTGTTGATAACATGCAACCCGACTTTCTTTACGAGCATCTCTATCCAGTACGCGGTGATATGCTGCTAGCACTCTACACGTCTCTCCATTCCCAAAGTGAATACGTTCAAAAAATGGCATTTAAGGTAATCTGACCTCCTTAGTCTCGCCATAAATGGTAACGTAATTATGGGTCTTTAACTTTATTTCTTCAAATTGTAGGTACTTGGCAAACTCGGTCGCTACAATCGAGCTGACATTTCCGATGTTCAGCGCCTAAACTTGAGCATAGGTTGCGGTGAACCCGGTCCCCTCCTTCGATTTTGGCTGCACGAGTTCCCACAGAGTCCTGTTGACCTGCCCATTCGCAGTCTTGTCGACGTCTGCGTAGAAGCCATACAAGTGGGCTCCTAAAATGTGCTGCCGTTTTACTCATGCTTTTGGGTTTAACTTATTGGTTGTCTTAGGATACTTCAATGGATCCTTTGAATAGGCTACGCGCGTGGGAGTTTCTTCGAGGCATCTGTTTCTCCGCTCTCAACTTCCACACATATACAAAGACCACTGGTGGATCTTCGTCGTTTACCTTCGTCGATAGCCTTCCAACATTCCCCCTCCAACAACTTTTTGAGCAAGTTCGTCAGCTTGAGTCAACCGGCCCAGCCAACTTTAACGGCAAACCCAGTAGGAGTTTTTATTTAGTTTGTATTTCATATAATATATTTTTTCAAAATTCCTCTATCTTTTTTTAGGCATACATCACCAGGTAATGGTTCGGGTAATCGGTGGAATCTTCTTAACAACTTTGGCGCCGTATGCTGTAGGGGATAGCGGTGTGTTTCTCACATTTCTGATCCGACACTTAACGCTCCTCAGTCTTCTTGAACCTGGAGAGGGCAACCAATCACCCAGCACCAAGCTCGATACTCCTGACCCTAATGCAAGTTCTCATTTATTACTACTACTGTTATATTGCGTTGTGTTAAATTACCTTTTTCTCTTCTTAAGTGTTCTAATTTGGAGGGGACTCTTGAGTCAAGGCTTTTGATTGACGCCATCTGCTTTGTAATGGGCCACGAAGACAAGGAATTCGTGCAGATAGGATACATTCTCCTTGATGAGGTTATTTTTACTGCCACTGCGACTCTGGAGGCCGTCTTAAATGAAATTAAAACCCCCTGCAGCAGTGCTCTTGATGTCCTTGTTCGTCTTCCCTTAATGCAGTATCTTTCAAAAGCCATCACAGATATGCTCTATCATCCTTCCTGGTTAGTTGTCGCTTTTATAAATTCCCTTAGCTACCTTTCAGTTTAATTTATTGTCCTCAGCACTCATCAGATTTGGTTTTTGATTTTTAAATGTAATATAAACATAACCATTGTCGATAAATCACGAGTTTATCTTAATTGGTAGATTATTTGCCAAAGCCACCCATTATTCCCTTCCTAAAAGCTCAAATTTCCCCAATTCTATCTGCCCACTCGAAAGAACTCAGCTACACCGATCAGGCACCGAAATTTCTGGCCCCTATGGTGGGAAAAATAAATGGTTGAATTCGACGGATTTTGACCTGTGACTTCTTAACTTCGCCATAACAGGAAATTGCTTTGCGAAAATTATATAGATCGATTTTCAATGTCACGAATCATTTTGGCATGCGGTTATGCATTGATTGCGTTAAATTACCGCTTTTATTTGTTGTACAGGTTCGTCAAATGGGGTGGGTGTTGCATGCTACTGCGTCTCAGACACCGCCTCCCGACAACATGGTTCAAGGAATATCTCCTTGGGTTTTTACGCGGTCTGATCCATTGTTTCCACGACCTAGCTAATCAAATGGGTCAGGGTGCACTATCGCTGGCTCGAGAGTGCGCTACAAGCCTTGTAGAATTCGTATTTTCGGCGGAGGCCATCCTCCTGCAAGCCATGGTGGCGACAAATAAGGAAGAATCCTCCACTCAATCCCGGGAATCCAGCAAGCGAACGGTGACCAGCCGTCGAAGAGCTGCGGCCACGACCAAACGCGGCACAAACCCAGCTAAACGAAAAAGTGCGTCGTCAAAGGGCGATTGTGAGTCGCCAGGTGATGATTCGCCCGAAGAAGCAGATACCTCTGACGCTACTGCTTCATCTTCAGCCTTAACTGAGGTACTCAAACAAGTTAATTTGCTGGTTTGTGTTGTTTCAACTTTGATTCTTCATCTGTTGACATCTAATAACCTCGTTTAGACACCATTGATGAAGGCGGTGCTTCCTGAACTTGTCGAGGCGTTATTAAGCGAAACCAAAGTCGTGCGAGAGCAAGCGCGTTCTCTACTACGCCTTGTTTCCGAATGCCTCTCGCTACCACTTGGCACCATTTTGAAACCGTACCTCCCTCTTATTGATGCTTGGTTGCCTCCGAAAAACCGCCTTAATCGGCTGACCAGTCTGCCGCTGTCCACACAAATTGCAGTGCTTGTGCGTTTCAAACACAATTTTAAGCTGTACCAAACCACTCAAACTGACATTTTTTCCACATTCCATTTTAAGGAAACTAACTACTTCTTATGTCGAGAGGGTCCGGAATTGCTGCAGTATTGTCCAGCAACCCGCCGCTGTGATAATCGCTTTCTTTTTGACCTGCGTGCAATTATGGATGCTCCTCTTCCTGCAGCCTCAACGACAGGTCAACCATCTATTATACGGGGTAATTCGGCCCCACACCAAACTCTCTTGTCGTCCTTACAATTGCAACAGGCAATCGACCTAAAGGTTACAGCGTGTCAAGTTCTGTCGACCACACATTATTTAGAGGGCCAGAAATCGGCTACCCTTGCAGCACTCTTCAAAGGTAAGCAGAATGCCAGTCTGCTTGAGCAAGTAGGTGATTTTACTGGATGATATTAACACAGAGCTACCATTTTCCCAACCTAGGCATGTGTTGTGATTCTTCGGCTGTGCACAAACCAGCATTTGATAGTACAATGGAGTTTGTAAAGCACACTACCGTGGACGTTGAACTGCGGCACACCTACGTGAAACCCATTCTGCAGAACCTCCGTCAGCCAGCCAGTGTGCGTCTGGCGACCGTTCGTCAATTGGCCTACTGCGCAGAGCTGTTCCCTAGCACTTTTAGCGAACGCTTTTGCGAGACAATTCAGGTGAGTTGTCGACTTTTTTTGTTAACTTGCCTTTTTGGGGGCTACTTTAAATGTCATATTAAAGGGTATATGTACACAATATTGTCGGCCGATCTGTGACCCTTCATTTTTCCAAGGTCAATATCTTACCATCTATTTGATTCATTGAGAAGTGGCTGTGTTCTGTGTTTTCACCGTTGGTTGCACTTGCTATTTCAGGTAGTTATCGTTTTGTTTAAATTGGTGCGCTTGGTTACCCTCTGCACAATTCGCGCACTTTTTGTTTGAACATCATTAAACCAATTTCAGTCCCCTCTACGATTAGTTCTGACACAACGTTGTATTGCTTCACAGTTTATGGGTAAATGCATCTTAGTGTTAATCCGCTTCGAGTGAGCTGTTTTTACCTGCAGCTTTTGTTTGTCTTGAGGTTTACTGGACGAGAGGTTCAATGAAATTAATAAAACCAATGATCCTTTATTCCACAGGCTATTCAGACGAGTGTGGCGAGTGTAAGCAGTCCCGACACCTTGCTGAAGTCGGTTGAATTACTCAGTGCTCTGATTGATTTGTTTCACTTGATTCCATTGGCTGGAGAGAAGTACGTAAAGGTGTTGATGAACTTGGTGATCCGCGTTGAACAGACCCTCAATGCCGAGCAAACCAGTCAGCTGCGCTTGCCGTTGCTGCGATTCCTTGTCCGCTACCCTGAGGAGACCTTCCGTCAGTTGCTTACCGGATTCACTCGCCCGCACGATGGTCATGCTCATCGACTCATCCTAGTACGTGTAGTGGTGCTGCGATGAAGTCGGCATATTTGCTTTGCGGGTTGTCCTTTGATTTTATATTGGCATACTTTATGAATTCGTCCATTTATTACGGCTTTTCTCAGCATTATGATCAGACCTGAGCCCTTACGCGTTGTTGCCAAACGGGCTACTCAGCCTCCGTAGGTAGCTGATATTTTGCTATTTTTGGAGACTCTTAAGTAGAATTTTTTCTTCATCACTTCAATAGTAAAAATTCAACTTCACATACCTACTGCGGGTGTTTGGCCACTTTTGTGGTTTCAGTGCCGTTTTTATTGCCTAGAGGGCGTCGCGCGAACGTCGATGGCTGAAAGCGGAGGTCTGCTTTTCGGTGTCTTCATTCGTTCATGTTACTAATATGAAGTGCGTTTTTTTTTCACCTGCAGTACATGATGACGTTACCCGAAAGTAAGCCGTTGGCAGATTATCTAATTGCAAACACTTCAATCCTAACGGACCTACTGCGGCTGAATGAGAAGGATCCGGGTATGTTGAAGAGGCTTATTCATGTGTATCTGAAACCATGCAACTTAGGTTGGAGCTCTTGCAAAACGACTTTGGTTCATTACAAAAACCTCAGTTCAGATCAGTTTAAATCATACCGTATGGAGCAACTTTAGATCTATTCAAATTCCCAACATCACATAGTGCCAGTTTTGGAGAGTAATTCCACAAAACGAAAGCGAGAATTTTTGCTCGTAATTATGGTCCGGGTTAAGAATGCCATCTGATTTGATAGCACTTTCACTTTGAGCTATTTTGTCATTTGTTTAGTCAATTTCAGCAAAATGGTACCGATTTTTCTAGGTTCATGGCTTGTTTTTTTCCTAACAATATACTGTTGCTGTTTGGTTTTAAATTCATGCGCTTAAAATGATATGAGTTAGTGAGCCGATATTCTGCGTGCTTATAGTCAATGGATTGCGCCTAATCTTTGTAGATAGTGTTTATCACCAGACGCCGTTTCGGTTGCCGCGGTCAAAAGGACCATTAATGCAGGCCTCCCCCTCACACCTGGCCCTGCGTCTTCTTCACAGCCTGCACATTCAACGTCCCGGCTGGCTGGCATCAACCCTCTCGTCTAGCACTGACGACGAAAGTATCCTGACGTCTTGTGACTCCCCGGTAGTGCAGACTCTCCTGAACTATTGGGGCTCCGCCAGCTTTGTGGAGCGTCATTCGAGCCTGACGCTCATTCAGCTGCAACAGCTCCAGCCAAGCGTCGATCTCGAGCTCTTGCTGGACGACCCTAGCGAGAGTGGAAGAAAAAGCTTTGCAATCAATCAGCACTCGACACCCGCGTCGGCTGAAGCCGCAACCAACCAGGCCATGGCGGGCGTCAAGGTCGCGTCTGGGTTGATGGAATTCGCTCATTGGGATGAGCCCTCACTGATACTCGACTGCCTGATAGCCTGTGCAGAGTAAGCCATGTGGCTTGTCTGTTAAGTTGAGGCTAAAATTGCCTATGAGTTGAGCTTATCCCCAACCGTTTCCGTATAGTTTCCGCCGAAAAGTGTAGACGTTCTCTCTGCTTCTTCTCAATGCTGCCTCGATTACCCCAACCTGTTCTCACCAAATTCGACAAAACGATGGTCATATGTTGAATGTGTTTTTAACCTCTTTGTTTGATTTTTTTAAAAAAAGGCATCAAATGCTTTTTTGTGGCCGGTAAACATCCCGTGAAGATTTGATAGGTTTGCTCACCATGTATAAATAGTATTTCCTATTGGTAGAACTGTTTTTACAGTGCTTAAGCACCAAACTTTCCTAATATCAGGTAAAGTATAAGTGTTCCAAACCTTCCAGGGTATGTTTAAATTGTCTAGGGTCCGGCCCGAGGACTTTGACCTGCTCTTTTACGTCGTTGGTGGGATGTCGCGTCTTCGATGTGTTGGCTACAACTCGCTTAACCAATACCTTCAACGTCTAGTTCTCCACTCTCCCATATCCTGGCACCGCGCTCTCTTTCTTCATTTCATCAAAGTTATTAGTCGACGCAGCGAGATTAATGTTGCTTCTAGTGGCAGCAGCAGCAGCAGCAAGACTGGAAGCAAAAAAAAGCAGGTCCTTTCTGACACCTCCACGGATTCTGGTCCAATGCTGTCGCTACAACAATACCTCAACACACCCGAATCACAATTTAAATTGCTTTCCCAGCTTATCCTGCCTTGTGTTCAACAGGCTCTTGAAAAGTCCCCGGCTGAATTTGTTTCCTTGCGGAATGCAGCCAATGCAGATGTGCCTAGTGGTGAGCTTTTGCATGTTACATCTTCGGTAACCTGGTCGCATGTCATGTACTAAGTTTCGATATGTAGCATTATCCGCGATGTTCCTTCGTTAACGATGATTGTGTAAAGGCTAAGGTCATTTTGCTTCAGCGTCTGTAATTGGTACTGCAGGTTAGTGTAATACCAGTTAACTGTGAACGGAATCACCAAAGTATTTCAACAACTTCTAGATGACAAGTGTTTACGCTTTTAGGTATGAATTTTGGTACAGCTGTCTTAAAACAGCTGATTTGTGGATGTTACTAAAGTATCAGGCCATACCAATTTCCGACTACCTTATTTTTCAACTCTGCCTTACAGAAGATGATCTGGTGCATCTATTCGTGGATGTGCTGCTCAGCGACGAAGCTGCCAAAAATTGCACCGGTCTGCGGATCATGTACTACCAACTCGCAAGTCTGTTTGTGTACTATGCTCCAGAATACGTTCAAGACAGTACTGTAAAGTGAGTTTCTTTACCTTTATTTACATCGGTTGACTTGGCGTACGCAACGACTTCGTCACATCACGTGGCCGTGGATGTCTCTATTTTGGCCACTTTTAGGACTCAAAGCTACCGCTTGCGTGCAATCACTGCTTTCGCGTGGCCCTGCGTCACGAGCAATTTGAATGTTGTCGACCTCCAGGAGAAGTACACTGGCCTGCAAGTCCTGGCGCACCTCATTGCACGCTTCAATCAAATCATGGGCAAGGCCACGCTGCAAGTCTTCCATTGCCTCGCGAAGGGCACTCACACCGAGGTTAAGAAGATTGTCAACCCCGCACTCGACATTCTGCTTCCAGCATGGGTTACTGGACCTGAAGAACAGGTGAGCCGATATTTGCGTCGTTGCTTGGCTGCGGTCAGATCCTAATTGGTGGCACAGCTAAGGCACTTTCTTCTGATAGTCAGGCTATTTCGCTAGCCTCGAAAGTATATTTGTGGTCGGGTTTTCTCGATTAAATTTGATTTTATCACTCTTCACAAGTTAGTAATGCGTGTGTGCTTGACTACATTGCAATGCAAATGCAACCACTAATCTTGCTTTTTTCTTCGGTTTATAGAAAGTGCTTGCGGCCTCTACAAGAAAAATACTAACTGAAGATCATGGAACCCAGTCGTGTATTCACCTGTTGTATGTCGTTACTTGTCAGACTCTTAGCAGTTTGTCGACTTTTTACCTAAATGCCTTTCGTTGTTTAGGAGCCTGATTGTAAGGCACGCAGACCTCTTCTATCCCGTGCGACAAAGTATCTTAAACCTCATCATCATCGTCATTTCTCGTTTATCGTCGCAACAGGTAATTTGCTCTGTTTTGTCAAGTACTGTAAACCGTACCATCCACATCTTTAGCTTTGAATCCCAAGTCCTTAGACCTTAAAACTGCCCCTGAAAGTTTTTAATCTATCATATTTCCATACTTGTGCCTACCCATCCCTTTAGCTCCCGATTGATCAACGGAGGCTGATTTTGGATGTGATCGAAGTTATCGTCCGTTGGGACCAGAGGAGCGGATCCGAACAAGCACTCGTAAACCCATTGCAGAGTGTAGATTCACCAGTTCTACACGCCGAACCGACCGCATCAGACGAAGCCCCTCCCCTACAGCCTTTATCCGTAAATTCTGTAACAGGATTTTTACGTTATTTAGTTATTTAAATATATTATTAACCATATTGTGTTTCCTTTTAGTCATCCGATCATCAAATTATCATGCCTATTGACAAGGGCCAACGAGATCAGCTAACAAACACGATGATTCGTTTCGCTTGCCAGGTAACCCATTTTTTTGTTACCTGGAGTTTTCGCATTTCAATCGTATTCGCAAATTAGGTATTTTTTTAAAAAATTATTATTAATTCGCCTTTATTTCAACGAAGATGTTAAAAGCGTAAAATCATTAACTTTGTTTACAAGTCAGTAATTAAATATGAAACTTCACAGCGCCAGATTCGTAGGACTAAAATATGGTGCCGCATTGCGTTTACGAATGCCCATCGCCTGCTTCGTTTTTTTCCGGGTGACATTCTTAAGGAGTCGGTGGCGAATGGAATAGTTGTGTTTAGATACGAGCTAGTGGTTATTTTTCTTGTCTAGTCAATAGACGCAACCCAGAACGGCATTTCGTCAGAGGCCTCAGCAAGAAAGGCACTTAGCCAAGTGGAATTCACCTTGAGCTCGGATGTGTGGGGCGGAGGGAACTGTGACCTCCGGTTGACCTTCATTGACCGACTTCTTTGCCCCGATGAGGCGTCTTGTCAGTCCGGCGGAGCCCAGCAGCAGAATCAGAATCAGCCACACACTATCGGTGCTCTGCAGTCTTCGGGTATTTTCATGACCCTCGAGGTTCTTCGTGTAGTCTACTCCACCTTGGTAAGGCCTCATTGTTTTTGGTCTTATGGCCACATATCGATGATATCCACTTCCACCAGCCATTCTTATCACAGCATGCGCACATGTCGTTCTGCAGAAGCAACCTTATCGTATTTTCTCGTTATCGATATTGCCTGGTTCCTTTTTGCCTGTAGGAAAGCCCGACACTTCTCGCCAATGTAAAATGCTTCAGCAAGTCCCTAACGAACCTGTTCACCCGCTACCCAATGAATGTTCGACTCATTCGAGCCTGTGCTAGTTTCGTAAAAGCCTTGTTGACTAAATTTCCTGCGGACTTGTCGAGTCGACAAAAAATCACAAGTTTCCCTGAACTCTATGAGCTGTACGACGTCGTTCTCAAGTTCATTCAGGAATCCTTCACTCTCTTTGGAGAGGGGTATGCATTTTGTCGAAATACTTCGTTATGCACTTCGTTATTTTTACGCATTTTCTTTGTCTCCATTTTCAAAAGATATTCCGGAACAATTGCCATCATTAGTTCTTACGATTGATTGGTTAATTTGGGTAATTTCCCGTGTGTGAGGTCATGTCTTTAATTTTGTACAGCATCTGCAGCATTTGTAATATGGCACGATATTTCGAGTGTCTTGTCAAATGTGGCTTTTCTCCTCTCTACTTTTATTTCAAAAAAAAAACAAACAAAAGGAAATCTTTAGAAGTTATCGGAAGCAAGCCATTGTCTGTATTCTAAACCTATAACTGATTACGTCAACATTTTTAGCACAAACAAGGCGGCGTTTGTGTCACGCCTCCAGTCGGCCTTTTGTCTGCTCACAACAACTCAGCAGGTGCCGATAAATCCCTACTCCTTCGTCGATCGCTGCCTCACTCAATTAATGAAACTGTTTCATCGACTTATCCACGATGTCACAAGCCCCGTTGCCAATGGTTCTCCACAAGATAATGCTTCCACGAATCGTAAGTTGCAGTAATCTAACTCCTTATACGACTATTGTCATGCCTGGTTTATTCCTTCTTCACATCAATTTGAAATTTACAATCCTAGCAAAGTTCAATTATTTGCCAACGAGTAAAAACATTCTTGGGTGGTAGTCGGTAATTTAATCTGGATGACGTTTTTTCAGTGGCGCCAAAATACCTTTGAATGTCAACAGTCATGAGTTCATGATGCTCTAAGCACTTTGCCTTTGTTGCTTCCAGCCGTGAAGATAGTGCTCGCAAGTTTGGTATATTCACAAACTTGCCTTTCATTGGAATACCGTTTTGTGGCGTAACCAGCACTTTCACTACTTTTTGTTTGTAGAACTCACTGAGTTGTTAATCCAGGGCCTCGATATATTCAAATCGCGTCTTAATGTGGTCAACACGGAAACCCGAAAGAGCGCATTCGGACCCGACCTCATGCACATCCTGGATCGATCGAAGGACCCCAAGTTGTTCCGTGCTGTTGTGCGCACCCTTCGCGACTGGGTCAACGTGCCCAAGGCCGAAGAGCACTTTGCACCCACCACACGTGAAAAGGTCGCCTTCTTCGTCCGCCTCTGGGCCGCCTATCCCCGATGGGTTGAACAACCCGAAGTCGCACGAGACATTCTCGAATGTCTTTATCAGGTTTACATGCTCTTATACACACACACAATTCTGATTTTATTGGCTTACCACCGATTCTCGTCTACGAGTGTAATGACTGGTGCTAATCGTATATTCCTTTTTGGTGAAAGCGACCAGTAATCTCTGTGAAGCTGTAATACACCAGAACCATGAGCCATTACTGACGTCTGTTTTGGGAATCGTGTCTTTCCTCAATATTAAAAGACGCGTCACAGTAGTTGTGGTTAGTCTGTGGGAATTATACCCTAAATTGCTCGTCTGTGTTTTGACTGAGAACTGGTGCGCGATCTGCTGCTTCAATACCATCCATGCTTGTCGTCAAACGTCGCTTCGAAGCAATTTGGCCTAGTAACCCTGTTGAAATTTTCTTGGAATCTTCGTCTTACATATTTCGCTTCATTTGGCTCTTTGTAGGTATTTTCAAACATTTCTCAAAAGACGCATGACATATTCGTAAAAATGGAACAGGCATTTTGTTGTGGCCTCCTGAGCCCACTTCCCGATGTGCGGGAAAAGTACATCGACTTGTTCTTGACCGGCTCCGACATCACTGCGACGCCCTTCCTCGTCGACAGGCCGGTAAATGAGAATAAAAGCGAGCCCGCTGCCGCTCTTTCTGCACCCCCCACCAAAAGCAACCTACTCACCCGCCTCCTCTTCTTGCTCACGTCAAATTCTTGGGACGAGGCCCACTTTAAGGATGGATTTTGGCTTCCCGTTTTCTTCGACGTAAGCGTTGTACCTGAGTCTTCTTTGTGTGCGCCGGTCGCCTGTGCCCGGGGTTGTCAGTCTCAAGTTAAAATCTCAAATTCTCATTAAGTGCACTTAATTATGCTTTTATCCCTTTTTTGTAACCTAAATCGTTTCCCTCTAATCTAATTACTAAGTCTGCATGCTACTTGCGTTTTTACGTGCTGAACAAGGCACGTGTTGTGTAATAGGCATATTATCTGACTACAAAGGGAAATAACTCGAAGTGTCAAATGAAAATAGTTTTAGAAATCTTTAGGAGAATGGCGTTCCTTAACAACTGTTTTGTCTGTCAGTGTTTTTAAAACAAGTAATTTTCGATTTGGTCTTATGTATTGCACATCTCTTTTGTGTAAAATAATCTCTTTTAAACGCAATAACGAGCTTGTTTCCCATTACAATTTCTGAATATGTTGGTTTTAGTGTGAAATGTCAAGAGAATCTGAGCTGCTAACTGACGAAATTGCAGAGATGTTGCTTTTCCATTAAATGCTCTGTTATAGTGCTTCTTCATCGCTCACATACTCCGCCACACAACACAAAAAAACTGTAAAAGACAATTTTATTTCCTTTAATATTACTTGACCTCAAACACGCTTATTTTGGCGTAAAATGCAAAACTGTGGAAAACACTCAATTTCTGTCCTGGTATCTTAATTTTTTGTGGGTGGTACTGTCATGAGTAATCGTACATTATTATAGCCTCAACCATTCTTCCTTTGGTAGTCGGGTTGTGCAATTATCACGTGCGGCACTGCAGAAGCAGCCGTGACTGAATTCTAGTGTTTGCGGCTCACCACATTGTTCATTTGACTCAATGGATTCTCTCAATTTTGAATAAAAATGCCTTTTAGCTGAATTCTTACTAACATTTTCTCCGTAGCACTTACTTATTCCTTGTGGCTTGTGCATTTATCGCCAGAAAACCCAGTACCTAATCAAAAAGTCGACCATTCATTTCATTTTTTTTAGTAAATGCACACCTTCCCAATTCATATTTTTTAGCAGTATCTGCCTCCTGTTCTGTGCTTATTTTAATCTTGTCACTTATTCTCGTGTTTTGTGATGCTGCCCTTTAGAAAATTTGAGTTGTTGCTTATGAAACCCAAACTGTTTCTCGACCGTAGTGTCATTAGTACATTGTACTCCTAATGCTTGCTTGTGGTTTGTAGTTTTGTCGAATACTAAGAAGTCCCTTTTAGTTTTTTTTTCATTTTTGTCCATCGAATTCTATTGCAATTTATTACCTGGCTCCTGACAGCTCTGCTGCCAACATGTCGAATTTCACTATTCACATTCACTGCATACAATGTTCGGTTGTTGTTAACAGGTCATATTGTGCGATGCCGACCTAACCAGGCCCGGGATCATCGCTCAGGCCGAGGCGAGATTCGCCTCGTTGGTTGCCACGAGGAATGACCAATCTAGTTCCGTGTCAGTATCAGCTGCTCCAAGTGATCCCTTCGAAACAGGCGACGTGGAGATGTTGAAATTGAAGCCAGATAGCGAAGGTTCATCGTCACTTATGGAAACTCAAGGCCAAACTTCTAAATCAACTTTTCAGCGCCTAATGGAACAGCAGGCAGCCGCGTTTATTCAACTCAAATCGGTACGATACATTGATACTAGATTTTTGCCACGCTTTATTCTTATATTATTGTTGACTTGCGTTTTGATTTGCAATTTTAAAGATCTCGTTCCGGGACACTTTACGTGGCTTCCTCAGCCTGGTGCACCTTCGCCCTGCCATTGCATCCGAAATGTTCGGCCAACTTTGGCACTGTCTGTGGCATCGTTTCCTGCTTCGAGAATCGGAGAATTTTACGAGTCTAGTAGGCCCTGGTGTCCTTACTGATCCTCAAGTGCCTCATTTGACGGAGGACCCGGTAAATCCGCCTGCCCCCTCGACTGAGGCTTCATCATCGCTTGAGGCCTCACAAAAGCCTTCACCGTTAGCGGCTACTGCAGGCACCGTCAGCGGAGAGGGCACTCCGAAATTGTCTCCTCGTGAACTACGAGGTTTTCTTCTGTCCCAAATAAATCGGTTCATTACATCGGATGACCATGTCAACCCCAACGAATGCATTCCCAGTCCACTGGGCTGTTTTGTAGCGGGCCTCGCGACTACTAAGGATTCGCTTTTGTTGTCACTGCCCCTCCCTGTGTTATCGGTAAGTGTCCTGTCCAACGCTCATCACGCGTTTTAAGCCGCGTCGTTCGTTACTCTTAATTTTCTGTTGATCTTTTTCGACTCGCTCCTACGTGCCATAGTGTAGGTCCATTGTGCTGTCAATTCTGTTTACTTTGCGTATTGTCTCTTGAACCCCACGCGATAATTCTTAAGGAATTTAAAATCGGGAGGAAATTTTGATCGTTTTTTTTCCAGCCTAATCTTTGATGTAATTGTTTTCACTTAAGTACGTAGGGTACAATCACAACCAGTGGTATACAATGGCCCTCGTGTTGGAGTTTCTTTGCGCCCGTGGGCAGCAAGTATCGCTGTTAAAGGGCCACAACTCTCCCGTGGACAACGACCTAACTTACTCTCTGGAGCCTGCTGTTGACGGCAGCGGGGATGCATCGGAAGCGCCGGGGAGCGTTCCTCTGGGCACGGCGGCACTCTCACTGATTGCCCTTTATGACGCAATGGCAGAAGGGGACCACTTTGTCTCCGCGTGGTGGCATCGTCTCAGCTCTAATTGTGCCGGCTCTCACCGTTTGAAGAATCAATTAAACCCTCCAGGCCCACGGCTTTCGCCAGAACGGTATGCAGAACTTCCTTCGTGTAGGCGTCCTATCAGTTCCCCATGTAATCGATTTTTATTCCACTCTTTAGATCATCCGATTTCCTGACCGCGTTGACAGCATTTTCTCAGGGCGGGCTAACCAAGGGTCTGGAGACTGCCCTGGGTCTTCTAAGTAGCCGATCGGCCACCTGCGATGCCCTGCCTGCCTACCCTGCCGCCTCCAATGTTGATTCATCCAGTCTTGCTCTATTCAGCGATCAAATAAATAAAACACGGTTAAATGAATATTGCATCAGGTGAGGATAAAAATCTTTTGGCAAATTTGCAAATTTGGCCTATCGGTTTAGCGCTGCCTTATTGCGATATACTAGTGTGTTGTGTCCTGTTTTTTAATATCCTTTTTTTGGTTTTGTTGAGTGTCTTCGCGCAAATTATTCCGAAAATTGGTACCTATCCTTACTAGTAGTCTGCTTCCATTTGCCTGAGTAACTCACTTCTTCTAAGGTACAATCGTTTTCAAAGTACTATGCTCCTTGGAGTCACTTTTGGAATGTTATCGAATTAGGTGGATTTTTTGCTGCGAATAAAGTGATTCACCGATCTGAAAAGGTGGTCGTTCGATGGAGCCATATGTAGGGTGTGTGGTAGAGTAAGGCAGATTTCTCCATCCTGTGTTTAGGGCTCTGAAACAGATGGGTCAGTGGGACAACTTGGAGACACTGGCGTCGGTCGGCGTCGCACAGAATCCTGGCACGAGTGTGCCTTCAACGGTGAGTGCTGCAGCCACCGGCTGTTCGCCATTTTGGGGTCTTCGTGTTGATGCTGCGTGGCGCCACCGAGACTGGTCTGAGGTGTTCTCCGGTCTTTCTGCGGTAAGTTCTGTACCTTCACCAAAGCCATCTCGCTGCTCCGAATTTTTTCCCTAATTCCTACTGCGTTCTTATTGGTTGAACACGTCTGGCGGTCCGCCATCTTAAACTGATCACTTCTTAACCAACCACCGTGAGTTGGTGCGACATCGCAAATTCGGTCATTCATATCAAATGCACACGTCGCAATATTGTGTCGTATTGGATTTTATTTTCCTTTCGTAAAACAATCACAGCTGCATCTAAATTATAGATTGTTTTGAGCTGCTTGGTTTATACCCAACGTAAAATGATTATTAATAAACCTGAGCTTAAAGTTTTGAAAACACGGCTGGTCTCTTTGTTAGGCGCCTACTCTACTTTTGTATAACCATTAGAGTACATTTCCAGATCTTGTTCACCGCCGCTCTATGCTAATACTTGGGAAAGTAGTTATCATTTTAAATCTTTTGGACACCAAAGTCTGCAGTTCGCCAAGGGTTTTTTCTAAGTAGCTGCAATTGGTCGCGTCAGAATCCCCCTCGTGTTTAGTTTTTGCATTAACAAGCGCCATTAGAACCGCACACTTTATTCCCTTCCGTAAACAACGCTTCGGTGGTACGACCAGCTGACACGACGACGAGGTGCCCACAATTGTTAATTCACACACTGCGCAAGATGTCCACTTGGATTATATCCTACAGTCTTCAACAGTCATTCCAAGCACCATCGGTGGCATTAATGCTGTAGAAGAAGAAAATAAACACAGTCTAATTGCAGGTAAGCAAAAGAAATAAAACATTGTCTGCTTCAGCTCGCTGGTGAGGCTCCGCGTCACGAGCATTGGCGCTTGGCTCTGATCCAGGCGTCGGCGTGTGTTGCGGGGCGTCGCGCTGGCTCCGGCGACTATGACTCCTTCGTGGGCGGGGCCGGCGGTCAGTCTGCCTCGGGTGGGCCTCCAACGAGCTCGGGGACAATTAGCAGTGGCGACACCAACTCCGGAGGCAACGCAATGCAGCCTGGTCTTCTGCAAATCATCGAGTCCGAAAGCCATCGTGTGATGTGCTGCATCCTGTCTGAATGGCGTCGACTTCCGCATATTATCTCAAATCAGCATATCCGACTACTGCAGGTGTGTTTTCTATTTCAGTCTCCCTATCTCACTTCTTCGACCTCAGTCTTTTTGCATTTGAAAAAAATAGTAGTGATTTGCGACAGTTCTTTAAATAGGTTCATTTGAATTTACTTTCTTCAGTTGTTTTTATGCTCTCTACTTCCCTCTCATGCTGTTTCTAGCCATTTCGCTTCAATCTATCAGTAATGGAAATAAGCATCCAGTCCTAAACAGTCATAAATTTATGCTTTTTGCGTGAACCGCACTCGAAATGTAGCGGCCACCGAAATAGTCAAGCTGGATGGATGTGACGTGCTAGGTTTCACCATGATCCTCAATTTCTACTTGCTCAATATGGAATATTTCTGTTCATCTGTGTTATCGGAAAATGCAGTACTTCCAACAATAAAGCTAATTTTTTGGGTGTTCCTCGTCCATTCCGCAGTTCATAGTTGCTTTCTTTTTTGATCTGATTCTTTTTCGATGGCCTCGGTGACAATTCGATTTGCGTGAAATTCTTTCGAACGTAGTGGATGTCCACAACTGCCGACTGTAACACTTTAGTTGTCCTATTGTATTCGCTTAAATACTTATCCCCCCCGGATTGATTTGCCTTTTTATGTTTTCAAATTGTAATAATTAACTCAGGGTCAGTTTTAGTATTCCTGAGCAAACATCTGTTTTTCTGTCCTATCTGTTGATTACGTGCGGTTGTTGATTGTCCATTCGTGGTATGTTAACCGCAAAAATAGATCTCGTTCTCCAGCGCACACCTATAGTCAACGTCGGATCTTCTGTTTGGTAAATAATCCATAGTTTATCATGCCCGCTAAATTGTAGTTTACTCAGCAACACGTCCACGTTGGTCACGATCCTTTGATGGTGCTTTACTGGATCGTTAACTTCTCAGACACGCTCCTCACTCTGCCCTGATTATCCTCGAGTTTCCACCAAGCCTCACATGGCACATTCTGAAACTTTGCTCGTGGCTGGTTTACATTGATCCAGCTTTCGATAAATCCAGTAATTCTCAGCAAATTTCTGCATTTTGGTGTTCCTAATTTTTCCCTCATTTTCTGGAGTCGTGTGTGTTCTCGTACTCATGCACTTGTGTGTCCTGAAAGGCATATCTTTTTCCTCGATTGTCTTGTGATTTGCATGCTAATTTGCACATATAATCCGAGATCCTATTTTCCTGTCGTTTGCAATGCCGTATACAGAATGGGCCGGAATTCGTGAATAAGTAAATAATCTTATTGCCTACCTTACTATCTGAAAACGCCACAAGAAACAAGTAAAAATTGTAGGTTGAGGACGAGTTTAACGTCCATTCGGGAAAAAAATTGGTGACGACTGTTTTTACATTTCTTTGTCACCGATTCGCACATTCGTACGATTAAGATACTTCTTTGGACACTTACCACCAATTATTTCACGTTTTTCGCAAAGGAATGTTTAACTTGTATGAGCAAAGGTGTTGGGATATTAGTCACGATCTGTCTTAACACGGCGTTATAGAATTTGTATATGTCCTTTAAAAATCAGTCCATATGTTAGCATTCGAAGGGATGATCTCCGATTGCCGCAATTTGGATTTTGCCCAAAAAGTTGGTTTTGATCATCAACGAATTTCGGAATTCAATTCAACGAATGTCGAGATCTACTATTCCTGCATTTCAGGCTGCCATAAAACAGCCTAAAATTTGGTGACTCGTCATGCTTTATTGCCTTTCCAATATCTCTTGGGTGCATTTGTTGAGGTATTTTCGCCCAATATAATGTTGTGCTGAAGATTCGTTTCTGTACTCCCAGCCATCACCTTGTAAGCAAAGGACATGCACTTCCAAATTTAAATGCAACAATCTTCAAACTGTGGAAGATAATCAAGAGGTATATTTTGCCGGTCCTGCAGTTTACGTTGACTATCTACTGGATTTAATGTGCACTGATCGATCAATTCTCCCTCCTATTAATGATTATGACCTTCGCGCGCCTAATTCTCACCATGTGTCCGTTTTTGCTTTAGGCCTGTCAGCAGGCAATCGAGATTAACGAGGGCAACATTCTCCTGATGCAACACTGCGCTCATTCTCTAACCACCGGGGGTAGCACCAGCAGCACCCCGAGTGGCTCTGCTGGGAGATCATCCATGACTCCGACTATGTACGACTACAAAACCGTCTTTAGATCGTGGCAGTAAGTTTGTCCCGTTGTCGACCTATCCACAATTTGTGCCTTTTAGGTTAGCCCGCCTTATTACCATTTAAGTATGGTGTTATTTGTGTAGTTTTCTATTCAGCGTAATATCGGTATCCACTTGCAGGTACGCCCTTAAGTCTTCATTCTCAAATGTAAACTTTCCTTTTTTCTCGTGCAGGGGACGTCCACCTCTTATTTCCGACGATTTGTGCTTCTGGAACGACTTACTCACCTGGCGTCAAATTGTCCTCGAAAAAATCATCAACAACAGCGCTTACTCACACAAGTTTACCCAGGAACGAGTAGGTGTCATCAGATATTTTTTTCTTTCGCTTAAAATTTTGCGCCATTAGTGCGGAATGCAATTCGGCATGCTCCTTTTTAGAACAATTTGCTCGGGATGTGTCATCGTGAGCGCTCGCTCACGCTTGTTCAGATGGTCAAAGGTTACCGAAAGTGCGGACTCTCAAATCTCGCCCAAAAGCGTCTTGACGCGTAAGTTGCCTCTCCCACCCCTCTCCCCCCAATATTAGGCAACGCTTTCTATTTGAAGTTTGGTCATCGGTTTAAACGTTTTACAGTTACTCACACGGCAATTTGCCACCGATGTTTGAGAAGACCAAACAAGAAATCAAACTCAAGATTGCTGACTCCCGAAAAGAGGAATTACTAGAGGCAAGTTGCTGGTCCTTTTCGGCAATTCCCTTTGTGCTGGAATCATCATTTGCATTTTCGCGTCTAGGGCCTTGAGTTGATGGAAAAAACTAACATTCAACAATACGAGAAAAAGGACAAGGCAAAGTTCTTCTGCTATAAAGCCGTATTCTTCTCGCATTTCAACAAGTACGTTTTCCCTGGCTAGGTCTTCGTGTCTGCTCTGCGCTCCCTCTTTTACCGTACTTCGTTTTTTTGTGTCTTATCCTTAGGGGCGACGAGGCCACAAAGAACTTCGGCTATGCCACACAGATGCAGGATAATCTGCACAAAGCTTGGTCGGTGTTCGGGGATTTCCTCGAAAACGTCTACTCCAGCAATCGCACTGCGTAGGCACCTTGATCTATGCAATTCAGCGTTTTTCAGCATTTGGTTAGACCTTACTTGCTGAGGCGTTCTGTGTTATCTTGGAAAACAAATTGTTTCATTTTTAAAAGTATATTATAATGGCAATGGAATTTTTCAACCACACGCCATTTTTATATCGTGGTCTTAAGTGACTTAATATGATTATTAGTATCTTCATCAATCAATAACTTGTGAATTTGTGTCTTTTGGACATAAGCTAACTAGTGGGGTTAATTTTGGTTCTACGCAACATGTACATAACCGTATTTTATTTTTAAGCATGTCCATTTTTGTGTCCTATATTGAATAGTCTTGTTATCTTTATCGGCTCTACCGGCGCTCTTAGTGTGTCAATAGTTTCATCGACATTGCGCATTACTTAGGTTCATCAACACATTCTGTTCTCCTTATCGACGAATTTAGTCCTTGGAAAACGTACCGTTCGGACGGTCGTTAATATTTCGAATGCCTTTTGTTTTCCACCATCATTTTGGTAAATCCCACAGATATGCCCCATTTTGTGCTGCTCATACATTTATCCATTTGGTTTGATGCTATTGCCCCACTGGTGCCTTATCTTTGTACTGGAATTTGGCTGAACATATGAAAACCAGCAAATGTTCGGTTTCAGAAAACGTGAAACGGCTGTATCGTCAACGGGCGTTTTCGCCATGCAGGCGTTAATGGAAGCGGCAACCGTAGCTGGCACATCTCAGCGTACGTCCCATCCAGACCTTGCCAGGAGTATCTGGTTGCTTACACTCGATGACGCCGGTGATTTTCATGGTAGTCCTGCAGGCACCCCCTCAGCTACCGCTGCTAATACGTCACCTACCACGAGTTCCGTGTCCACCATTGCCTCCGGCTCACAGTCCCAGCGCCTCGCCCGAATGTTCGAGGAACGCGCGTCACGCGTCCATCCTGATGCCTTCCTGCCCTGGCTGCCCAGCCTCTCGACATGTCTCCTACGTCCAGAGGGTCGTTTTGTCGCCAGCGCCCTACGTGGAATCGCTCTTGCTTATCCCACTGCACTGGCCTCAGTTTTGCGTGGTCTCCAGCATCAGCTAGCCACGGAGGTTGATCGGGACCGTCGAATTTCCGCCGCTTTGACCGAACTCAGCCCTGATCAGCGGCGCCGCCTCGATGAAGCATACGGCCATTGTTTGGACCTCGCGCGTGATGAGTCGCGTAAGAGGGCTGCGTCTTCTGTTACGACGGGTCCTGTAGATCACGCACAACTTCAGGCCTCAGTAAGTGCTGGCGCGGCTGCCAAGCGGACAAAGAAACGCGTTGTTGTTGTAATGCGTGGAGCTGAGGGTGAAAAGTTGGGTGAGACAACAAGTTGTCAGCCTTCAGAAAGCATAAGAGAGGCACCGTCTAGCGATCTGCAGGATTTGGAGTTGGATGACGACGATCCGGATGCCGTGAACCCCACAACTGCCGAGGAATCACCTGTGGGTGATTTCGAGTATGTAGGCGGTGTACACACGAGCTACATGTCGCCATCCGTAGGTGAGGGACTTCACAGAGTTAACCTCCTGTTTGCGCAGTTGCGCCAGCGCCATCCTGCTCGCTTGTACGTGTCTGATCGGTTCGTCGAGTGCACTGCAGGTCGCCTTCTGCCCAGCTGGTCAGAAAACCTTCTCCTTCACCTGCGTAAGGTGTTGTCTCAGCTCCACAAACTTGTGTGGGCCCAGGTATCGCATTTAGTGCGTTCTCCATCGTCCGCAGCTAGTCCAGTGCAAGCAACTCTGCAGAGTGTTACATCCTTCATCCTTCCATCGTGGATGTACAAAGAATTGTTTGATATTATATCTCGTTGCGGACTGCCGCCTCCCAATCCAGCTACTACTGATGATTTTGCGACGGATGACTCAGATAATCGTCCCGCTTCATCACTATCATTCTCAGAAAATGCCCAATTGGCTTACACAATTCTGGCACGTGAGGCTGATTCTGACCCTTGTTTCAAGCCTCTGAAAGAGAAGTTACTAGCTATGATTTCCAATGCTGAGTCTAAATCAGTATTTGTAAGTGGTTGTCTTAGTTTTGTGATCGATTTAACTTGTATTTATATTCTTTGTAATCGTCCTTTCTAGGAGGTGATTATGCTACTTACTAACGAATTGATCCCCCTAGTCGAAAAACGAGTGGAGATGCTTCCACACACCTTCTACTTGTCAGATCGTGGTGCCGGCTTCCTGATTGAGCTTATCGCCGCATCGAGTTGTCAATCGCTTCAGGGGCCTCTTCCTCGCCTTTACCAGGGTATTTCAACTTCCACCGGCACTGCGTCTGCAGCTGTTTCCTATTCTTCGTCAGCTCTAATTGAGTTGCCCGGCGAGGCGATACGATTAAAGACGGTTCCCGCACTGAACCCTCAGAATAACTTTTATAATCACTCTAACCATCAGCAGCTTAGTACCGCTAATGAGGCACAACAGCCTCATTTGCTCTACTTGGCGGACATCATCCCGACTGTTGTGCGTGTGCCGTCCGGTGGCGGTCGGAGGCTGGCCGTGAGAGCGAACAATGGCCGAATGTTTCACTACGACATCCCGTGTCTACCGAGGGAGTTGCCAGCTGGTAGGGCTGTTTCTCTTGCTTCGACTGACTGCACTGAGGCGACTAGTCTGGCGCCCGCCTTGATGGCCTATGACGGATGGCGAGAGACCTGGTGCCCTCCGCATCTCTTCCAAGTACTCAACGACATCGCTGCCAGGTGCCCTGAGACTGCGAAAAGACGTCTCCGTCTGGTCACTTCACGGTGAGTTGGCTAATCTGGACTCATCCCATCCCCATTACGTTTTTCGTCTTTCAAATATATGAATTGATCACTTCGGGCAAATCACTCTTAGCCAATCTCAATGACTAATTGCTTATTTTGCCATCAAGAATCAGTCAGCTGGATTTAGGTTGACATTCCTGATAGAAAGAGTGCATGTATTGGTTCGTCTACTCATTACACTCTCCTACACCAATCATGTCACGTAAATTGAGTCAAACGGTATTCCACAGGAATAGATTTTGTCGACCGCCTATTCGCGTCATTCCGTTTGTTAATTGCTAGGTTGCTTTCAGTCAAAATACTTATTAATATCTACATCTTGTTATTGATGTATCATTTACGGTTGTCATGTGATTTAATGCGATAGGTGCGACAATCAGAAAACCACAGATTGTTATAGCTTTTATTAATTACGATATCCCAATTATATTTGGACAATAACTTATCTATTAAACGTTGAAGCCGTGCTATTTTAATGGTATCCATTGAGCTTTTTTTAATCTCATCTCTCGTCTAGCACCCTCGACGTGGGCCCCTGCGGAATGCGCATCACTCAAGCTGGCACGTCGGCTCCGGCCGCGAGTGTTGTCGCCGCCAATAGCATAGCCTTTGGAAATCCCACAGTGACTGGTGTTGGTTCTCTGTTGGCTCAACAGCTGCACTCCACAGCCGCGTCGTCGGCAGCCACCGGGCAGTTGCAGGCGGGTGGGCTTCCTTTCACTGTCCCCACCGGCCCCCCCAGTATGCTGCCTCCGAAGCCTTCGCCTGACTTTGACGCTGCTTTCCCGCGGCCCGATGCTTTTTCCGAGCAACAGCAACAACAACCACAGCAGTCAGAGAAACATCCAGCCACGTCGAACCCTACGGTTAGTTTCTACTTTTTTTTTTATGTGCCAAGCTGTTGCACAAGTATTCACTAAGAAGCAACAATTTCATGCGTCACCTGCGTTGAGTAAAGGAAACTAAATTGTTTCCCGTCATCCGATTTGGAACCTTTCTCGCCGCCGACGCTAGGAGTAGATTTTGGATAAGTGGTTTTATAAATTCCACCCTCCACATGCTTCACTACAAAACATGTAAATGGCTCAAACATCGTTGACTCACTTTCTTATCAAGTTGCATTTTTCTCCACTGCGTAGTCTACTTAATCCCTAAAAGCAGTGCGATGTCATGCAACGAATGAGTCTCCAATATCTTTAATTTACGAGGCCTGTTTCCCAAAGTCGGAATAGTGCTTTTATATGTGCTCAATTTCTTTTGACCACCTACGCCTCTGGTAGGCGAGATCGTTTTATCGATTTACCGGGCCAATGTGTATGTCCATTTCAAGGCGTGAGGTTTGGAGATTTTCGCCACTTGAGCTTACTTTTCCCCCGTTTCATTTGTGGGCTAATTCGTAAAAATGGAGAAACTAGTGGTCACCTGAGTTATGGACTTTAAAGATAGCTTTGGCAGACTACTTATCCGAGTCTGAAAAAAACTACGACTGATCGCGTTTACTAACTGTACTCTATCTAACTGTATCTTATGTTATAGGTCTCGAATGCGAACTGTTCAGGATACGCTGGGAGTCGTGGCGTCGCCCTAGAGGTAGCTGGTCAGCCTGCTGGCCTTGACACCGGTTGCTATGCCGCCTGTGTGACCTTGGCTGACGTGGTGGACGCTGCAGCACTTAATGTTCCATCGACAACACGCCCTCTTACCTCCAGACAACTAATTGCTGCTTTCTTTGATCGGCTCAGTGGCCTTGCCACCACTGACGTCAAGTTATCTACTCTTAAAAGTTCATTGGTGAAAATTTTCGAAGATCTTTTGCAGTTGGTACCCCAAGCCAGCAGCCTCAATGTCCCGGCGCACTCGCCGCTGGGTTTTCTAAATGACGAGTGTAACACTTCAGGTAGTGTGGTGCAAGTATGGGCTTATCGTCGATTTGTTGACGCTGAGAGCTACTGGTTGTTTAGACACGGTGTGGCATTGTGTTCCGGTTCTTTGGGCCTTGCAGAAATTCTTTTTTCCATGACTCCTCTGAGTGCGACCGGTGTCATTTTGGATCCTCGCGTGGGGCGATTGGAGTCCCGAGGTCTCTGCTTTGACCTTCCAGCCACGCCAAACGCCACAATAACTCCTCAATTCCATCAACAAAAAGAGCCTCGTCCAGTTGACCTTGTTTCAAAGTCTTCAACAGCATTGGCGAGCATTTTTGCGTCAAACTTCGCCCCTCTAGTGCAGCCTGCAGCTGCTCCACCTAATCGTGCGTCTGTTGCACCGGCAGTCTGCTTGCCATCGCGTCCTGCGCCTTTGCGCCTAACACCTCAGTTGGCCGCGCTCATCTGTCAGCCTGGTGTTCCCGCCACAGTTGGACCGTTTGCCGCGGCAATGTCGACAATGAACCAAGCTGTGGTTCAGAGACGTGCGACCGTCATTGCTTGTCTCCGTACGCTCCTCCGCGACGACTTCATCCTCTGGCACCGTGGAAGGCAGGCTGCAGTGCACGCGAATCTCCTAGCCGACCTTCTAGACATTGACAATGACGACGCAGCCATGGGCACTTCTAAATCACCTATCAACGTTCCCGACCTGTCAAATGAGTGTCTCGTGCAGATGATTGCTTTATCGGTAGAAGGCTTCAGTCATCGTAGTCGAGGTTAGTTCGTAGTTTCTTGCCATAGCCTCAATTAAATTAACCGTCTAACCGTACGTCGTTTGGTTTTAGTTCTTTCTTCGAGTGACAAAACTCTAGGTGACGTTATAAACGGGGCGTGTTCTCACGAGAATCTCGCGCGTATGGATCCTTCGTGGCTTCCCTGGTTTTAAAAGTGCTTGTATACATTATTGTACAAATATTTCATGTGGTAGTAATGAATGTACATTCTATGATAGTAATTCAACCTGGTTCTGTTTACCACATGTGGTATCAGAAAACATGGAGGAGATAATTAATGTTTAGCATAAAGGCCAAGGCTAAGTCGTGTCTTCGCAGTTATTGGCTAACTGTGAAACTGCGAAGTTTGTATGGACCGAAAACGGTTAGGCTGCTGAATGACCGTTAGATAATGGGCAGGAACGTCAAGCACCCTGGACGTTTTGTAACGATCTAGTAACTCGACAATACAGGTATTTTCCCCTCAACTCTTACTCTTCATTTTTTTGAGCATGAGGCATTAGAGGTGTTCCAAAACTCTGAATAAAGGGAGGTAGAATTGCGGATGGGAAGTGAGGGGTGTAATTAGCTCCTCTTCAGGTGTGCAAAAGAGCACAACTGCCTATCTTGTTTCTGAAATCCCATGGGTCATTCGTATTGGCAGAATGGAGATTCGCCGCGTTCTGCACACTTCGAAATAAGGTATCATAAGTTATGGAGATGTGAGATCTATTTTTGGATTGTGGCAGTAATTTCTATGTTGAATATTTCAGGCTAATTTGCATAAGCCGATGGGTTGCTTTTGCTCGTGACTTGAATTTGGCACGTAGTCACGCTAAATTAGTATTCTTGTTCGATGGGTTTGAGGTCTAGTTTCGCACTGATTCGTACCATAATACAAGAATTAGGCTCTGAGATAGAAGTGATAGTCGGGTGGTGTTAATAAGGCTTTTGATCTTCACCAAGTATTGTTGAAAAGATGTCATGGGTGGTCGGATCGGGCTGAACTATGAACGAGAAAAACACCGGCTCTACCAACTTCAGGGTCCTGTTGTGCGACGTCAAGAACAATGCTTATGGAGCTGTCTGTTCGCTGCATTTATTCCGCCAACAAGGGCTCATTATGTGTCCTAACGAAGCCTTGGTAACATCGAGTGTCATTAAATTTCTTCTGGCTGTCTCAGAAAAGGTTTGAATCGTGGCGGCTTATGCACTTTGTAGCTGACAACATCTTGAAATCTAAATGACATGTAAAATTTTTCTGTTCATGAATACTCTCGAATCGGGGCTGTTTTCAGCATTCACCGAGGCCTCCAAATAAATCCATCCCCTTTCTCATGATGTCATCGTTCGTATTACGACTTGAGATGAGAATTGCGCATATTTGGGCAAAGACGAAATATTCCGACTGAAAAGCACCTTATTCACAAACTGTGCTTGCGTAACCCGAATGAACTGATAAAATGAGTTTACGCATGCCGCGGGACTGCGGATATGTTTCGCAGGCATTGTCAGAGTCACTTCTTGTAGGTGAAACTTTTATCAGACCTCAGGGACACATTACATGGATTTTAGGAATAGAGCACCTATTAGAAAATGCGACGATGCTAGAGGCCTGAAAATCGTCTTCAAGTCATCTGCGCTAGCTTTGTACAGGATACTGTTTGAATTTGGGCCGACCGAAAGTTATCAGAAGGCTGAACTGAACCGATTTGGCACACATGTTTGATTTCAACTTCGCCAGCACTGCGTTTATGAGGTGCAAGATGCCGTGAAAATGCGTTGAGGATTATCAAAAATTTATCCACAATTACCTCAATCTTGTTCTTGGCCGTCTAGACCTAGTGGTCTAAAATTGAATTAATGGAAGCAAGTTTACCTCAACCAGATAGAAAAGCACCTGCGTGTAAATCACATTGGCGGACCTTAAACAGCATAGATTGCTTATACATGAATATGCCCTAGCGCCAGTCGATAGATCTCCACAATGATTGTGACGCAAAATTAAACCTCTTATATCATGTCGTTTAGTTTGTTACACGCATCTGTGACTCGACATTTCAGTTCAGGCGTCAGGGCTTTGAAAGGTAAGCTGCTCACACCCAACGCCGAGTAGACCAGTCAACCTCGTTAATGTCCTTCAGAAGACGCATTTGCCGAAGGAGTTGACATGGCGATAATTCACTCTTTGATTCGCCTGTATAACTGCTGCAAGTGGACCTCGTTCAAACGAGTCGGCTGCTCGCAGAGCAGTTTTGTGGTTTTATGTGGGAAAACACCCACATGCCGTGCAGTGCAGTGGTGTGAGTGAGCAAAGCAAACTCTGATTTACACAATCTATAGTCAATGGTTCAGTGTCTATTTTGCTCGAATTTCAGTGATTCTGGTTTTCCACAATAGACAGGTGTCCTCAACATGTAAAAAATAAAGACTTGATAATGTGGGTAGGATAACTGCAATGTGCTTGAAATCACACCCTCCACCATGATACAAATGTGAAAGGCGCTATAAATGCAATTCAAATGCCTTCGCAATATGCGAGGCTGATGCTGTAAATCAGGACCTCTTTCGATTGTGCCGAACGCAGGCAGTCCAAAAATAATCATTGCATTGTCCGAAACTAAATGTTATCAAATCTGCACTCTCTGCTGCGACCCATCACTTCATTTTCCTGAATATGCGTTTGCGTTTTTTACAAGTTGGTTTCCCAAAGACATAATTTTTGATTCCGAATTGCTGCAGACAGAACAATTTGCTTTTTGTGCCTTGTTTGTTTATTAAGATGGCTTGTGGCTGCTGTTCGTTCATTCACAATCGCCCGTTTAGTCGATTTGTTACCGGGTATTTTCTAATACAGCCTTTTTAATGTTTGCTACAGCCCGGGTCATCGGAAATCAATCAATGCATTGTTATCCCTTTTTGGCCACGAAAAGAATCCATTTTAGAATCCAGTGATTTAATAAATTCCACTTTATCCAAGAACCAGGCGTTGTCAGTGTTCAGATCAACCAGCAATAATACGACTTCAGAGTTTTATCAAATAGCACGACGTCCAGTGAACTCTGAGGCTCCCATTGGCCTTTGAGCCAACTTGTACTTTCCATGACAATCAGTGTCATCTTGGTCCATATTTGATAAAAACGAACTAAATTTTGGGTCATCTGCTGAACACCCAAGACGCCGACTGCCTTTCGGAAGGCTGACACAATTTACTCACTACCTGCTACAACACCAGCGAGTTGCACTAACCTAAATCTACTATACGAGCCTAGGCTCGGATTCGTTGGTTAAGGCCAATTAAGCGTCACACCCTAAAAAACCCTTGACCTTTTTAAGTAGGATTGAATATTCCTGAACAAGATTAGGTCTTGTGCTAATGTGTCATTGATGTAGATTTGTATTAAAACTTTTGGACGGTTCTCAGTGCTGCTGATTAGCCACAGGATGCTAAGCCACTGGATGGAAACAGTTGCCTGTTTGGAATTCAGACAGGTTGCGTTCCCTTCTGTACAGCATTTTATCACATCAAATGACCAAGTACCAATGTCGAATCTGGCACATGTAACCTCCCCTACTTAGCTACGTTGTGCATTCGGCTTCAGCAAGTCGTGCCTCCGGAGTGAGTTCGAGATCTCTCTAAGACAATTTTGAAGAGGTAAGTAGTATATTGTTAGACTGCATTTAATTTGCAAAATCCACCACTATGTAAAAATCACACAAATATACTAATTTTTTGCATCGATATTTAGATTTCAATATGCTCAAAATCAGCTTTTCATTCGAAGCTGGGGTTGCCTCGTGCAGATTAATTAAATGAGTTGTCACCGTCTTTCACAGGTAGTTCTTATTACCATTTTAAGGTCATGGAAACCATTTTGAACCAAGACAAAGAATTAAGTTATATCAACCAAGACAGTTGAATACTGCGAACTCCGGAGTTCGTGACAAGGTTGCAGGGAAATTCTGATGTAGAATTGCGCACCACATCCAGCTTTCATGCTGAGACCGACTTTATGCTAAAAAAACACTTTAGTAATTTACAAACATGTCAATAAGCTGTCCTATGTTGGCAGACCATCGAGTCCAAACACGAAACTTGCCGTGCACTTTTATGCACCCGGAAGTGGTGATGTACATGTCGTTTTGGGCATATTTAAGCAAATATCGTTTCAATGAGATGCATTTTTACATAAGAAAGTTTCCTGTATTCACACAGTATTGGAATCCTCCTAGAAGTAGTTTTCAAAGAAGCGAAGGCACCGCTGATACTTCCTTTCTTCGTAAGAAGTGGGCAGCTAAAATGCAAGTGTAAAGAGTAAATCAACCCAACTTTGTTGTAAGCGGCCCCGCGTGAGTTAATCCCTAGCAAACAGCAATTTGCATACCTTGTTGGTGTTTGCAGGAACTGTACTTTTGAAGGCGATTTGAGGGAGATTGACTGGCTTGAGGTTTGTATCCCGCTGCCATGCTAACGGTTTGTGTTCTTTAAACCAGTCGTAGGTTCCAACACTAAAATATTCATCAGTAATTTGGGGGATTCAATTCAATTTATGTTCGAAATCAGAAACAATAAAAAAACGATTAATGATTTATATATTGCCCTGTTTTGCTTTCTTTAATTCACTTTCGACATTGAACTTAACCAAGCTGCAGGTCTGCGTAGTATTATTCGACTAGCTGTGCCAAATTCTACGTCTAGGCCCGAACAACGCGCTCTGACACTGTGATGGATACAAACAAACTAGGTCCCTTACCATGCTTGACTTTGTTCAGAATATCCTTTTATTTCATTTATTGGGGTTAATAAACTAACAAAACTACTGTTCTTTAAAGCTAACTTCTCCTACATGTATCTAGAACGCCAATGGTGTCGCCACTGAGTAACAATTTCGTACACGAAGCCTTGTGTATGACAGGTGACTTTATTCAGCATTTTAAAATTAAAATCAGACGAAGTGGCGACAATAAGCAATTATTATAAAACACATGTTATTAAGACACACAATGAGGGGCAAATTTAAACCTTATACCGTTTGAAAGCAGTTTTTAACTGGCCTATTTAAGATATTTGCGCTCGTGTATGATTCGTTTGATGTTAAGCTGGGACGCAGCTAACTGTCGTAACATGCTGTGGTACATGGCTAGGTTAAAGATACGAGGTCTATCGGGAAAA